TCTCGCGTCCCCACCAGACGCGCCTGCGACGCAGGTGGAAGGATCACGAGCAGGGCCTCTCCAGATGACCGAAGTGAACGTGTGGGTTCGTAGACGGAGATGCGGTCACGCAGGTAGGGTGGTCCCAAACCGTTCAGGGCTTTGTAGGTGAGCACCTGCACCTTAAATTGGGCTCGGAAAATAAATGGCAGCCAGTGGAGCTCCTTGAACAGGAGGGTTGACCTCTCTCTGTAAGGAGCCCCAGTTAACATCCTGGCTGCTGCCCGTTGGACCAGTTGGAATTTCCTAGCCGTTTTCAAGGGCAGCCCCACGTAGAGCGCATTGCAGTAATCCAATCTAGAGGTGACCAAGGCACGGACCTCCCCGGCCAGATCAGCCTTCGCGAGGTACGCTCGCAGTTGGCGCACAAGTCTCAATTGTGCGAAAGCCCTCCCAGACACCGCCGACGCCTGAGCCTCAAGCGTAAGCGATGAATCCAAGAGGACTCCCAGACTGCGGACCTGTGGCTTCAGGGGGAGTGTAACCCCGTCCAGCACAGGTTGCCACCCTATACCCCGGTCAGGTTTACGATCGACCAGGAGGACCTCTGTCTTGTCGGGATTGATCTTCAGCTTGTTCCTCCTCATCCAGATAGACACAGCGGCCAGGCACTCGTCCAGCACCCGAGAGGCCTCCTTGGAATTAGGTGGAAGTAGTAGAGTTGTGAGTCATCTGCATAGATATGGCACCCAACTCCAAAACTCCGGATGACCTCTCCCAGCGGTTTCATGTAGATGTTAAAAAGCATGGGAGACAGAATAGAGCCTTGCGGGACCCCACAGGTCAAAGGCCAGGGGGCCGAGCAGGCGTCTCCCAGCTTCACCATCTGGGATCGACCCTCCAGGAAGGACCGGAGCCACGACAAAGCCGTACCTCCAAGGCCCATCCCAGAGAGTCGTCCCAGAAGGATACCATGATCGATGGTATCGAAAGCCGCTGAGATGTCCAAGAGAACCAACAGGTCACACTCCCCCTGTCCAGCTCTCTACGGAGGTCATCCACCAAGGCGACCAAGGCTGTCTCGGTGCCGTGACCAGGCCTGAAACCAGACTGTGACTGATCTAGGTAGTTGATGTCATCTAGAAAGCCCTGGAGCTGGGAGGCAACCACCCGCTCCAGCACCTTACCCAAAAAAGGGAGATTGGAGATTGGTCTGAAATTGTTCAGCACCGTGGAGTCAAGGGAAACCTTTTTGAGGAGTGGACGAACCACAGCTTGTTTCAGGTGAGATGGAAAAAACCCCTGCTCCAACGATGCATTAATGATCAACACAAACCAATCAACCAACCCCTCCCTGGCCGATTTAATTAGCCAAGACGGGCAAGGATCTAGAGCCGATGTGGTTGCCCTCACAGCCCCAAGGACCTCTTCCACGGTCTCAGGAAGAACAAACCTAAAAGAATCCCACAAAATTGGACAAACAGATGCCTCAATCACCTCCTCTGGCACTGCGATGAAATTGGAGTCGAGCTCAAGGCGTATCTGAGCGACTTTGTCTGCAAAATGGTGTGCGAAATCGCGACACCGAGTTGCTGGGTCGTCAAAAGTCTCCTCCACCACAGGTGGCTGAAGGAGTTCCCCAACGACCCGGACCAACTCCGATGATCTATTTGCTGCAGACGCTATACGGGTAGTCGTATAGGACTCCTTGGCTACCTGTATAGCCACGGTATACGCCCTAAGAGAGGCTGTAGCCCGTGCTCGGTCAGACACGTCCCGAGAACTCCTCCAAGTGCACTCTAGCCCCCTCCTCGCATGCTTCATCACAGCCAGCTCCTCGGTGAACCAGGGAGACGGCTTGTCATGACGCAACGTGATGGGCGTTTGGGAGCGATCGTATCTATCGCCCTGGTCATTTCCCTGTTATAGAGATCAACCAAAACGTCGACAGGATCGCCAGGCTCCATGGCAGGAAGAACCCCAAGATTCCTCAGGAATCCCTCCGGATCCATCAGTCTCCTGGGGCGGACCATCTTAATTTGTCCTCCACCCCTGCGGAGGTTTAGGGTCGCAGAGAGTCTAAAACTGACCAGATAGTGATCAGACCATGACACAGGAAGGATGTTTTGTTCTTCCACTCTGATCATTCCACTGTCCGCCACAAAAACTAGGTCGAGTGTGTGTCCAGCCTGATGGGTGGGGCCAGATATAATTTGTGATAGCCCCATGGTCGTCATGGCGGCCATGAAATCCTGAGCTGCACCAGTCAAGGGGGTCTCAGCATGAATGTTAAAGTCTCCCAGCACAACCAGGCGCTGGGAGACCAAGGCCGAATTGGAGACCACCTCTGCTAGCTCAGTCAGGGAAACTACTGGGTCGCGGGGTGGGCGGTACACCAGCAGAAACCCCACGCTATCACGGTTCCCCACCCTCAGGTGGACACACTCAAACCCAGATGCTTGCGGAACAGAGCATCTGACCACGGCGATGGATTGCCGATAGACAACTGCGACCCCTCCTCCCCACCCCCCACCCCCCAGCCTGGCCTGCTGTGCGCCCCCCCCCCCCCCCCCCCCCCCCCCCCGGTCTGGCCTGCTGATGCACTCCGAAGCCCGGTGGGCACAGCTGAGTGAGATTTACTCCCCCCAGCTCGTCCAACCAGGTCTTGGTAATGCAAGCCAGATCCGCCCCCGCATCCAGGATCAAGTCCTGAATGGCAGCAGTCTTACCATTGACAGATCTGGCATTAATCAGCAGGATCTTAAGACCAAGGGGACTGCCATGGGGCCTACCATTTCCTACCTTCTCCAGGGTCGCAAGAACTCTGTTGCGCTTCTCCCTGGGGCGTTGGTGACCCGCAAGTCTCTTCCCCCACACGACCTGAATGGTGCCCCCCTCCTCCGGTCCCCCCTCCCCCCCTACATGGTTGGGATCTGTGGCTAGTCAACTTTCAGAAGAAGTAAGGCTGGAGTATAGTCTCCCTTGAGCTTCAGGTAGGGATGCTTCCGATGTTAAACTGGAAGGAGAACCCGCTATATAGCACCGGGATTGTGGCGCAGCTGGCTGAGTATCAGCTGCATTAAGATCACTCTGACCAAAAGGTCATGAGTTCGAAGCCAGCCCGGGTTGGAGTGGGTTTCCAACCAATTGTGTGTAGCCTGTTGTCGACCTTTGCAACCCGAAAGACAGTTGCATCTGTCAAGTAGGAAAATTAGGTACCACCTTAAAGTGTGGGGAGGCTAAATTAACTGATTTATGAGGCCATAAAGAAGACTCCAGCAAAGCATTCAGCGGGGAAGCAGCGGGGAATGCGGAAGTGCTTCATCAGCGTCACAGATGGACGATGAAAGAGACAGCTCCCCTGGCGGCCAGAAAAAGTAAATAGCCTCTGTGTATGTCTGTATATGTTTGTATGTCAAAAATTGGCATTGAATGTTTGCCATATATGTGTACACTGTGATCCGCCCTGAGTCCCCTGCGGGGTGAGGAGAAGGGCGGAATAGAAAAGCCGGCAATAAATAAATAAATAAATAATATGGTAATAGTGTAATACTAATATTAAATTATATAGGGTTCCCCCCTCTCTTGCTGTTGCCTCAGCCCCGTTCTTAACTAGGAGTCGTTCGTAAGCCGGGGTGTTTGTAACTCGGGGGCTCTCTTTAAGGACCCCTCCCTCCCTCCCTTGGCAGGGCCTTAAAGAGTGGCGGGGCGGGAGCTTCCCCCGACATTTCAGGGAAGGGAAAGGGGGGGGGGGGGGGGTTCCAGCGGGGCCAAGGAGATGCTGGGAGTGGCAGTCCTCCCTCCCTCCCCCTCCCCCTCCCCCTCCCCTCTTCCGGGAAACTCCCGGCTCTGCCTCTGGAAAGAGCCGCGCGGACTCGCTTTCCCTTTCACTTTCGCTTGGCTTCGCTTCGGAGGAGAGACGCCCGGGCGGAGAAGAGAGAGAGAGAGGTGAGACCCCCCTCCCCTTCAGACCCCCGCCCCCAGCTTTGAGAGAGAGAGAGAGAAGCCGAGGGGAGGGGCATGCCCCGTGGGAGCCCCTCAAACTGCAGGGAAAGAGGGAGGAAGAACTTCCTGAGATCAGTGGAGTTTGGGAAATGCCGCCCCCCCCCGCCCCCCCCCGGAGCCTGCCTCCTTCTCGGGGGGGGGGGGCTCATCCCACGGAGGGGTTGGGTGGCCCTGGCCCTTCTCATGAGGAGGCTGGGGGGCCGCTTGCCGGGAAGGTTTTTTTGGGGGGGGGGTGCATTCCCAGCCCGGCAGGACGGGCTTGGCTTGGGTGGCCCTCGGGGGGGGGGGGTCCCTTCCCACTCCAGGACGCATTGATCCAGTGAGAGGCTCGGCGACCATCTACTGGGAGGGCTTGCATGGCGCCTTTCCTGCATGGCAGGGGGGGCTTGGGCCCGGTGGCCCTTGGGGGTCCTTCCAACTCTGGGGTGCTATGATTATTATACTATTCCCAAGCAGAGACTGGGTGCCCACTTGTGGGGGGGGGGGGTGTTTGATGGGGCTGGGTGGGAAGATTTGGGGCCGGGTGACCTTTTGAGGGGGGGGGATGGGGTTGGGTGGGGGTACATGGGGCTGGGTGACCTTTTGAGGGGGGGGTTCTCTGAGCCCCCCCCCCTCCGGTGACGCTCCTTCCTTTCCTCCCTTTGGCTTGAATGGCGCCTTTCCTGCCTGGCTGGAGGGGCTTGGCCCGGGTGGCCCTCGGGGGTCCCTTCCCACTCCAGGACACAGTGATCCAATGGGAGATGCGGTGGCCATCTGTTGGGAGGGCTTGAATGGCGCCTTTCCTGCCTGGCTGGAGGGGCTTGGCCCGGGTGGCCCTCGGGGGTCCCTTCCCACTCCAGGACACAGTGATCCAATGGGAAGCACAGTCGCCATCTGTTGGGAGGGCTTGAATGGTGCCTTTCCTGCCTGGCTGGAGGAAGTGGGGCCAGGTGGCCTTTGGTGGTGGGTTCTCTGAGGCCCCCCCAGGTGACCCTCCTTCCTTTCCTCCCTTTGGCCTTGTGTCCGGCGGCAGAGCCATGTCATCCCCCGTGGGGATGCCCAAGCCCATCTGCCTGATCCAGAACCAGCAGGGGAGGCTGTCCACCTGCCCAGATGCCCTGGAGGTCCTGCAGCGCATCCGCCAGCCCGTGGTGGTGGTCTCCATCGTGGGCCTCTACCGGACGGGCAAGTCCTACCTCATGAACCGCCTGGCCGGGAAGAGGACCGGTGAGCAGATCGAGGGGAGGGGAGGGGTCTTGGTATGGCACCCTTGTGGCCCCGGGGTCCCCTTGGCAGGGAGGAGGGGGCCCCTCTGGGTCCGGAGGGAAGGCACAGCTTCAGGCCTCGCTTTCCTGGCAGTTGAACCCCCATCTTATCCCTATGGATTGGGTGTAAGAATTTCAATATTTATTTATTATTTATTTACTGTATTCGTATACCGCCTTTCTCAGCCAATCGCCACTCAAGGCGGTGAAGCAAAACAGCACTTTGCTTGACCTCGCTGTTGCAATTATGTTGTAACCCACCTCGAGTCGCAAGGAGAGCCACGTAAGACAACAACAACAATCGTATAAGAAAAATATAAGGTCAATTTTCATGATCGAACCAATAAAATAGCATAAGTAGCAGAGGTAGGTGTGTTCCCGTTGGGAGAGAGGAAGGGGGAAAGGGTATGAGTAGCGGATGAGTAAGTGTCGAAATGCACAGAAGAGCAAAGCGGGAATCCACGGAAAAGTTATAAGGTTGAATATAGGAAAGTACAAATATACCGAAACAAACTGCAATCGTAACTGTTACAATTTATCTGCACAACCAAATAAATTTATATATATGTTCTAACTGTAAACACCACGCGTTGCTGTGGCCAACCTTCCCTCCCTCTTTCTCTTTCCTTCCCTCTTTCCTTCCTTTCCTCTTTTTCTTTCCCTATCTCTCATCTTTCTTCCATCTCTACCTGTTTCTTTCCTCCCTTTCTTTGCTCTTTGGTTACATCCTTCCTTCTCTCCTTCCTTCCTTCCTTCCTTCCTTCCTTCCTTCCTTCCTTCCTTCCTTCCCTATTTTTCGTTCCTTCTCTCCTTCCGTCTCTTTTTCCTTTCACTTTTTAAAATTTTATTCTCTCCTTCCTTGCTTTCTCTAACTTTCTTTCTTTACTTCTTTCCCTCCCTCCTTCTCTCCTTTGTTCTTTCCCTCTTTCCCTCCTTCTCTCGTTGACTGTCCCTTCCCTTTAATATTGTTTTTAAAGAAGAAGGAAGGAGGGACAGGAAGGAAGGAAAAAGGGAGGGAGGGAGGGAAAGAAGGGAAGGAAGGAAAAGAAAGAAGGAGGGACAGGAAGGAAGGAAAGGAAGGGAGGGAGGGAAGGAGGGAAAGAACGGAAGGAAGGAAAAGAAAGAAGGAGGAACAGGAAGGAAGGAAAAAGGAAGGGAGGGAGGGAAGGAGGGAAAGAACGGAAGGAAGGAAAAGAAAGAAGGAGGGACAGGAAGGAAGGAAAAAGGAAGGGAGGGAGGGAAGGAGGGAAAGAACGGAAGGAAGGAAAAGAAAGAAGGAGGAACAGGAAGGAAGGAAAAAGGAAGGGAGGGAGGGAAGGAGGGAAAGAACGGAAGGAAGGAAAAGAAAGAAGGAGGGACAGGAAGGAAGGAAAAAGGAAGGGAGGGAGGGAAGGAGGGAAAGAACGGAAGGAAGGAAAAGAAAGAAGGAGGGACAGGAAGGAAGGAAAAAGGAAGGGAGGGAGGGAAGGAGGGAAAGAACGGAAGGAAGGAAAAGAAAGAAGGAGGGACAGGAAGGAAGGAAAAAGGAAGGGAGGGAGGGAAGGAGGGAAAGAACGGAAGGAAGGAAAAGAAAGAAGGAGGAACAGGAAGGAAGGAAAAAGGAAGGGAGGGAGGGAAGGAGGGAAAGAACGGAAGGAAGGAAAAGAAAGAAGGAGGGACAGGAAGGAAGGAAAAAGGAAGGGAGGGAGGGAAGGAGGGAAAGAACGGAAGGAAGGAAAAGAAAGAAGGAGGAACAGGAAGGAAGGAAAAAGGAAGGGAGGGAGGGAAGGAGGGAAAGAACGGAAGGAAGGAAAAGAAAGAAGGAGGGACAGGAAGGAAGGAAAAAGGAAGGGAGGGAGGGAAGGAGGGAAAGAACGGAAGGAAGGAAAAGAAAGAAGGAGGAACAGGAAGGAAGGAAAAAGGAAGGGAGGGAGGGAAGGAGGGAAAGAACGGAAGGAAGGAAAAGAAAGAAGGAGGGACAGGAAGGAAGGAAAAAGGAAGGGAGGGAGGGAAGGAGGGAAAGAACGGAAGGAAGGAAAAGAAAGAAGGAGGAACAGGAAGGAAGGAAAAAGGAAGGGAGGGAGGGAAGGAGGGAAAGAACGGAAGGAAGGAAAAGAAAGAAGGAGGAACAGGAAGGAAGGAAAAAGGAAGGGAGGGAGGGAAGGAGGGAAAGAACGGAAGGAAGGAAAAGAAAGAAGGAGGAACAGGAAGGAAGGAAAAAGGAAGGGAGGGAGGGAAGGAGGGAAAGAACGGAAGGAAGGAAAAGAAAGAAGGAGGAACAGGAAGGAAGGAAAAAGGAAGGGAGGGAGGGAAGGAGGGAAAGAACGGAAGGAAGGAAAAGAAAGAAAGAGGAACAGGAAGGAAGGAAAAAGGAAGGGAGGGAGGGAAGGAGGGAAAGAACGGAAGGAAGGAAAAGAAAGAAGGAGGAACAGGAAGGAAGGAAAAAGGAAGGGAGGGAGGGAAGGAGGGAAAGAACGGAAGGAAGGAAAAGAAAGAAGGAGGAACAGGAAGGAAGGAAAAAGGAAGGGAGGGAGGGAAGGAGGGAAAGAACGGAAGGAAGGAAAAGAAAGAAGGAGGAACAGGAAGGAAGGAAAAAGGAAGGGAGGGAGGGAAGGAGGGAAAGAACGGAAGGAAGGAAAAGAAAGAAGGAGGAACAGGAAGGAAGGAAAAAGGGAGGGAGGGAAGGAGGGAAAGAACGGAAGGAAGGAAAAGAAAGAAGGAGGGACAGGAAGGAAGGAAAAAGGAAGGGAGGGAGGGAAGGAGGGAAAGAACGGAAGGAAGGAAAAGAAAGAAGGAGGAACAGGAAGGAAGGAAAAAGGAAGGGAGGGAGGGAAGGAGGGAAAGAACGGAAGGAAGGAAAAGAAAGAAGGAGGGACAGGAAGGAAGGAAAAAGGAAGGGAGGGAGGGAAGGAGGGAAAGAACGGAAGGAAGGAAAAGAAAGAAGGAGGAACAGGAAGGAAGGAAAAAGGAAGGGAGGGAGGGAAGGAGGGAAAGAACGGAAGGAAGGAAAAGAAAGAAGGAGGGACAGGAAGGAAGGAAAAAGGAAGGGAGGGAGGGAAGGAGGGAAAGAACGGAAGGAAGGAAAAGAAAGAAGGAGGAACAGGAAGGAAGAAAAGGAAGGGAGGGAGGGAAGGAGGGAAAGAACGGAAGGAAGGAAAAGAAAGAAGGAGGAACAGGAAGGAAGGAAAAAGGAAGGGAGGGAGGGAAGGAGGGAAAGAACGGAAGGAAGGAAAAGAAAGAAGGAGGGACAGGAAGGAAGGAAAAAGGAAGGGAGGGAGGGAAGGAGGGAAAGAACGGAAGGAAGGAAAAGAAAGAAGGAGGGACAGGAAGGAAGGAAAAAGGAAGGGAGGGAGGGAAGGAGGGAAAGAACGGAAGGAAGGAAAAGAAAGAAGGAGGAACAGGAAGGAAGGAAAAAGGAAGGGAGGGAGGGAAGGAGGGAAAGAACGGAAGGAAGGAAAAGAAAGAAGGAGGGACAGGAAGGAAGGAAAAAGGAAGGGAGGGAGGGAAGGAGGGAAAGAACGGAAGGAAGGAAAAGAAAAGAAGGAGGAAAGGGAGGGAGGGAGGAAAGAAGGAAAGGAGGGACAGGAAGGAAGGGAAGGAGGGAAAGAAAGGGGGGGGAAGAAAGGAGGGAGGAAGGAAATGAAGAAAGGGGAAAGGAGGGGGAGGGAGGGAGGAAAAGAAGGAAAGGAAGGAGAAGGAAGGAAGAAAAGGAAAGAAAGGAAGGGAGGAAGGAAAGGGAGGAAAGAAGGGAAGGGAGTGAGGGAGAGAAGGAAGGTCCTTCACTCAAGCACCGTTGACCTTCCTCGCCTCCTCCTCCTCCCCTTCTTCCTTGCCTGGGGGCTCCACTGCTGCCACTCATCCACCCCTTCCTCTTCCAACAGGGAAAGGAGGAGGAGGAGACCGCCCTCCTGACATAGCAGGGAAAGAGAAGGGGCTCCATGCGGCAAGCCTCCACCTCCACTCGCTTGTGTGTGTGTGTGTGGCCACGCACGTGCGCCTGGCTTTAACGGCCGGCTGTTTCCTCGCGAGGAGGAGGGGGGGCGTGGCCGGGGCTTTGTGGGCATGCAGTTTCCCCTTTGTGGACATGCAGTTTAGAAGTCCTTTCTGCTTTTTGTTTCTGTTGTTTTTTTGATTGAAGGACATACATTGGGTTGTTAGGGGTATCGTGTCCAAATTTGGTGTCAGTTGCCCCAGTAGTTTTTGAGTTCTGTTAATCCCACAAACGAACATGACATTTTTAATTATATAGATATGTATATATAATGGAGTGGAACTACTACTTTCTAAGCAAGGACCACACATTTAAATAGGAAATAACACTTTCAAACCAGGAACAGAACATGTTTTTTCAAATTTTGTTACATAGTGTAATAATAATAAGCCAGTCAAGGGGGTCCCAGTGGAGATGGGCACACTGGGTGCAGCGCCTGAACACCTTGGCCTGCACTTGAAAACAATTGGCGCTGACAAAATGACCACCTGCCAGCTGCAAAAGGCTACCTTAATTGGATCTGCATGCCGATCGATACACTGCACAGTCCTAGGCATTTGGGAAGCGTCCGATGTGGGGTCCAATACAAAAGCCAGCAGAGTGACCTTGTTGGCTGTGGACTATTCTTGTTGTGCGTCAAATAACAAGTGTAATTAGTCACAGTAGTGAAGCCTTGCCCAGTGCGGGTGGGTGGGTAGGGTCTCCTTCCTTAAGGGCCTTTGCCAGAGAGGAACTGCCTTCCCACCTCCGCCTTGGAGGGGGTTTTCCCTTAGCTTGCCTGCCCATGACAACCCCTCCAGGAGCCCCTGGCCGCTCCCCATCAGAGCCTGAGAGTCTCCCATTGAGCGATCGCTCACACAGCTCCCTCTTCGTGCAGGTTTCTCCTTGGGGTCCACGGTGCAAGCCAATACCAAGGGCATCTGGATGTGGTGTGTCCCGTATCCTGACCGGAAGGACCAGACTCTGGTGCTGCTGGACACGGAGGGCCTGGGCGACGCGGAGAAGGTGGCCGTGGGGGGGGGGGGTGAGAATTGGGGGGCTTCGGGGGAGGGTACTTTGAATCCTTTTGGAAATCCCAGGCCACCAAGTTCTGGCTCCCTGTGAGGGGGTCCTCAGGTGGCCCCCAGCCCCTTCAGTGGAGTTTATTTATTTATTTATTTATTTACAGCATTTTTATTCCGCCCTTCTCACCCCGCAGGGGACTCAGGGCAGATTACAGTGTACACATATGGCAAACATTCAATGCCAATTTTTGACATACAAACATATACAGACATACACAGAGGCTATTTAACTTTTTCTGGCCGCCAGGGGAGCTGTCTCTTTCATCGTCCATCTGCAATGCTGATGAAGCACTTCCGCATTCCCCGCATGCTTCCCCACTGGAATGCTTTTGCTGGAGTCTTCTTTATGGCCTCATAAATTAGTTAATTTAACCTCCCCACACTTTAAGGTGGTACCTAATTTTCCTACTTGACAGATGCAACTGTCTTTCAGGTTGCAAAGGTCAACAACAGGCTACACACAATTTATTTATTATTTATTTAAAAGTTTTGTATACCGGCCTTCTCACCTCTCTTGAGGGACTCAGACCGGTTTCCAACCATAATATCACATACAATCAATACAACAACATAATACATATTACAGTAAAACATTAAAACAGCAATTACAATCAATAACTATAATGGTCAGTCGTCACACTAAAATCGTTGCTCATCATCCTCCATCCATATCTCAGGGTGTTGGCTCACTCGTTGAATGCCTGTCTCCATAACCACGTCTTCACCTGTTTCCTAAATGTCAGGATAGAAGGGGCGGTTCTGATCTCCAGTGGGAGAGAGTTCCAGAGTCAAGGGGCCACCACCGAGAAGGCCCTGTCCCTCGTCCCCACCAGACGCGCTTGCGAGGCCTGGTGGGACCGAGAGCAGGGCCTCTCCAGACGATCTTAGTAATCTTGATGGTTCGTAGGGGAGAATCCGTTCAGAGAGGTAAACTGGGCCGGAGTCGTTTAGGGCTTTATAGGTTAACACCAGCACTTTGAATTGTGCTCGGAAGCTAATTGGCAGCCAGTGGAGCTGGTGTAACAGCGGAGTGGTGTGCTCCCTGTACCCAGCACCCGTTAGTAGTCTGGCTGCCGAGCGTTGGACTAGCTGCAGCTTCCGGGCAGTCTTCAGAGGCAACCCCACGTAGAGAGCGTTGCAGTAATCTAAACGGGATGTAACCAAAGCGTGGACCACCGTGGCCAAGTCAGACTTCCCAAGGTACAGGCACAGGTTGGAAGCCCACTCCAACCCGGGCTGGCTTTGAAATCATGACCTTTTGGTCAGAGTGATCTTAATGCAGCTGACACTCAGCCACAATCCCGGCGCATCCATGCTGGCAAGCTGCTTGCAGGAAATACTTTGCTCTTGATTTAAAGAAGGCCGTTGTTTTGGGTTTCATCTCCCAGAATCCCTGAGCATTGAACAAGCTGGTGAGGGCTTCTGGGCCTGATGTGGAGGGTTGTAAAGAAGGGCCTCTGCTCTGTTCCAGCCCAGCCTGGACATGGCCAGGCTTCTTTTGTTACGCAATGAAGAGGGGGAGGGGCGGGAGCCTTGCAGCCTCAAGGGCCAGCAATGCCTCGGCTGCACCTTGCCCAGCAGCCGCCCCTTTACACCTGCCTCCCTCCCTCTCTCCTCTCAGGGCGACACGCAGAATGACACCTGGATCTTTGCCCTGGCCGTCCTCCTCAGCAGCACCCTGGTCTACAACAGCTTGGGCACCATTGACCAGAACGCCATGGACCAGCTCCAGTATCCTTCCTTCTGCCCCTCCTTCCATGGGGCAGACCCCCGCCCACCCCCTGGCCCTGGCCACTCCAATGGGGCACGCCTGAGCCCATCCTTGGACAAAGGGAGGCTGAGGCCACAAGCCCAGGCAAGCCCAGAAACACCCACATCTGTGCAACACCCGTAACACAAAGCTAGCAAATATTGGCAGAAGGAACTTCTCTGATAGGGAGGAGGGAGCAAGCTTGTTTTCTGCTTCCTTGGAGACTAGGACGTGGAACAATGGCTTCAAACTCCAAGAGAGGGATTCCACCTGAACACGAGGAAGAACTTCCTGACTGTGAGAGCCGTTCAGCAGTGGAACTCTCTGCCAGAGTGTGGTGGAGGCTCCTTCTTTGGAAGCTTTGAAACAGAGGCTGGATGGCCATCTGTCAGGGGTGATTTGAATGCAATATTCCTGCTTCTTGGCAGAATGGGGTTGGACTGGATGATGGCCCAGGAGGTCTCTTCCAACTCTAGGATTCTAGGATTCTACGATTCTATGATAGAGAATGGCCACCCCACCCTTCGCCATCATTGGGTAGACCAGACCCAAAGAGCACCCAGGGAAGAGGGAACATAGATCCCAAACTTCCATTAGCTGGGAGGAAAGGAAGAGATTCAGCCCATAAAAAGCAGGTTTGACCCCCACCACACCCCTCTGTCCATGTGTTCCTTGTCCTGACACAGCCAAATGAGCCCTTGAGGAAAGGAGGGGTGGTGTGGTCAGCAGTGCCCTTGATTCCTGAACCAGCCCCCCCTCCAGCTACGTGACGGAGCTGACGGAGCGCATCAAAGCCAAGGCCTCTCCCGGGGGCGGCGCAGGCGGGAGCCTGGAGGACTCCTCCGAATACTTGCGCTTCTTCCCCAGCTTCGCCTGGGCCTTGAGGGACTTCACGCTGCAGCTGGAACTGAACGGGAAGCCCATCACGGAGGACGAGTACCTGGAGAACGCCCTGAAGTTGAAGAAAGGTAGAGGCGTGTTACCAGCATTTCCTCCTTTTTCCGTTTCAACTCCCTCTGTGGCCTTGATCTTCAGAGGATCGGGTGGTAGTCGAGCAAGTGCAGTATATCTACCTGTGGAGTGTCCAGGGTGGGAGGAAAGAACACAGGAGTAAAAGGTCCCATTACTTACTTAGGCGATCCCTCATTGTCCAAGTAGGATAGTCTTCCATGATCCATGTACTGGGGGTGGGTACATAGGTGACTGTGGGTCCCATTAGCAAGCTTGATTTGTGTGTGTTGAGTAGGATCCACCCATTAGCATGTGCATAACCATGGAGATAGTCCTTAAGAAGTCTACTGGCTTAATGCCTAAATCTGCTTCCCAAGTTCACTCTTTGGGTGACAGTGAACTTGCAGTGGCGGAATCTTGCAGCCGGCACCCCTTGACTAAATCTGCCTCCTCGGCCGACACGACCCCTCTTTTTTCTGCTGCTTCCCAACTGACCTTTTTGGCCTCGGGACACAGGAAGGGGGTCCTTGGGGGTTCAATGGGGGCCACCTCTCCCTGTCTCCTCCTTCCTGCGCAGGGGACACCCCCGACGTCCGGCTGTTCAACCTGCCCCGCAAGTGCATCCGCTTCTTCTTCCCCACCCGGAAGTGCTTCATCTTTGACCGCCCCACCAGTCGGAAGAACCTGCACCGCCTGGAGCAGATGGAGGAGAGCGAGCTGGAGCCCGACTTTGTGGAGCAGGCCAACCAGTTCTGCAACTACATCTATGGGACCTCCAAGGAGAAGACCCTCCCGGGGGGACATGTGGTCACTGGGCACTGTGAGTCCCTCCCTCCTGCCCTCCCTCCTTCCTTTGAGTGATGCGGGGCTATCTCTGGCCTCCCCTTTGTTCCTCTGGGGAGGCCATCCTCCTCTGCTTCGGGCACCAGGTCCAACCGGTGGAGCTGGGGACCCCTACCTCCTCCCTCGGGCTGCAGAGGACAGAGCCCTGCTTCAACGCTGCAATGGGCACCACCACCTGATGCTTGCCTTGTGTCACCGCCTTCCTCCTCACAGTGCTGGCCAAGTTGGTGGAGACCTACGTGGAGACCATCAGCAGCGGGAAGGTGCCCTGCATGGAGAGTGCAGTGCTGGCCTTGGCGGAGATGGAGAATGCGGCTGCTGTGGAGGAGGCTGTGGCCTGCTATGGGGGGCTAATGGGACAGAGGCTGAGACTCCCCACGGAGAGCGTCCCAGAGCTGCTGGGAATCCATGCCAAGTGTGAGAAGGAGGCCCTCCAGGTGTTCATGGCGCGTGCCTTCAAGGACGACGAGCAACGCTTCCAGATCAAATTCATGGTAGGTTCCCCCACGAGACGAGGCCTTTGGTAAAGCCTGATAGTGGGGAGGGGGGGTCGAGTCTCTCACTGGGAGGGAAGGGAGCCCTAGCACAGAAGGGTCACCGGTCTCAATGGCCGCACTCCCAGCCCCACAGGACTGGTGTCTTCATTGGAGTTTAAAAAGGAAAAAAGCAGTAAAATAAAGCAGGAGCAAAATGTAGCAGTTTAGCAGAGCAGAAGCTTCCAAACACAGCAGCAGCAGATCAAATGAGCTCTAGCAATTCAAGGAGCAAAAGCAGGCTTTCAAAGTTACAAAAGTCCCTCTTATGAGGCAGAACTAAATATGAAAAAATTCAGGGTCTTGCTCTCTGTCTCGAACTGTGTGGAGACATCTTGCATGCTCTCCTCTCTGGAGAACAGTAAGAAGACTGGGTGTGGATTTCCATGCAGCCAGAGACTTAGGAAAGGAGGCATGTCCCTGAGAGTTATCAGCCGTGTTCTTCCTCTGTTCCTCCGTTCCTGCCAGAAAACCCTGGATGACCGGAAAGAGGAATACTGCCGAAGGAATGAGCAAGAGTCCATTAAACGCTGCCAGGCTCTGTTGGCCACTCTCTGCGTGGAGCTGGAGGAGAAGGTGCGCAGCGGGCTCTACTCCCGGCCCAACGGACACCAGCAGTTTGTGGACGACCTGAAGGACGTTGAGGAAAGATACCGCCAGGAGCCTAAGAGGGGGGTGATGGTAAGGAAGGGAGAGAGGGGTGGAGGGGGAGGGGTGGGCCATGGAAGGAAGTCATGCAGGGCCACCCTGGCAATTCACCCAGGTTTGCAGCTTGGGAGTGACCCTGGACTCAATGCTGAGCCTAGAACCCCAGGTATCAGTGGTGGCTAGGGGAGCTTTTGCATTAAAACTTGTGTGCCAATGCACCCGTACCTTGGGAAGTCGACTTGGCCACGGTGGTCCACGCTCTTGTTACATCCCGAATATAGATTACTGCAATGCACTCTACGTGGGGTTGCCTTTGAAGACTGTTCAGAAGCTCCAACTAGTCCAATGGATTGCTACTGGGTTGCTCACCGGAGCGGCTACAGAGAGCATACAACCCCTCTGCTATGCCAGCTCCACTGATTGCCAGCCTGCTACTGAGCACAATTCAATGTGCTGGCTTTAGCCTATAAAGCCCTGAACAGTTCTGGCCCAGCTGACCTGTCCGAACGTATCTTCGGCTGTGAACCATCACAAAGTCTCAGATTGTTGGGAGAGGCCCTGCTCTCAGTCCAACCACCCTTGCAAACGCGACTGGTGGAGACGAGAGACAGGGCCTTCTCCGTGGTGGCCCCTTGCCTATGGAACTCTCTATCTAGTGACATTAGATTGGATCTATCCCTCTTGTCCTTTAGAATAAAACTCAAAACCTGGTTATGGGACCAAGCGTTTGAACAGTAGAGGCAGCAATTTAGAATGAGACCCAATTTGTGTGAATGACAATGGACTGACCTGGACTATGATTTCAAACCTGTGTGATTTAAACAATGTTTTAGTAATTTTAAAGCATTAAAATTGTTTTAATTGCTTTTATCATTTATTACTGTTGTTGGCATTGAACGAATGTCTGTTGTGAAGCTGCCCTGAGTCCCCCTCCCTCCGGGGGTGAGAAGGAAAAGAGACAAATATGCAAAATAAATAAATAATGTTTTGGCCAGTTCCGTAAAGTCACGTACGCAGGCATAAAAATAAGTGAATATGCAAAGAAAGCACACTCCAAACCAAAAACTTCTTAGAACCTGTAACACACATGTGGCAACTTGTAGGTCTCATCAGAGGAACTGTCATGTCAGTGTCCATGTTTACGGGCCAGAATTGGTCACATGGCACTGATGTTGCAGATTCCCAAGTGTGTGGATGGCCTTCCAAATTCTGAAGCTGAGGGAAGTGTCCTTATGTGGGTAGCTCAAGGGTGGGGGGTGGGTGCCCCCATGAGCCCCTCAGCCATATCCCCAGGGTCTCAGAATCCCTCCACTGGTGCCGGGAGAGGGGCTCCTTGGGGCAGACCCTTTGGCCACCCCCCCCCCCTTCCCTTCCCAAGACCCCCCTCCACCCCTTCCTCTTTCCCCCCCCCTTTTTCCTCGTCCCCCTTTCCCTTGGGGCAGACACCCTTCCTTTCCCTTGGCACCAGCTGTCCATGTACTGGGCCACTCTCCCTGGCGCCTATAGCTTTTCTCTGAGCACTTCTGCCTTTCATCCACTCAGGCAGAGGGAGGCCGGAAGCTCCAGTCTCCTCGGAGGCAAAGTGATGGCCGTCGGCAGAGCCATTCTCCAAAGCGACACGGCCCTCAGCGAGAAGGAGAAGCAAGTGGAAGGTGAGCCCCCCTCCCCATCCGGAGAAAGGAGTGGGGAGCAGAGCCCCTGCTTTCTGCTCTGGCCACAAGGCTCATCCAGTGCCTCTGAGAGGAAAGGCAAAAACCAGAGGGACGGTCATGGGTCAGGCTTCTGTGCCGGACACCAGAGCCTCAGGAGAGTCACCGTTGAGCCCCTGCCCTTTCCAGGAAGGCCTCCCAGTTCTGAGCACACCCAAACTCTTCTCCACCAAGTCCCAACGGAGAGTGTGGAACAGTTCCATACTTAAATGTTACCGAGCATCTGCTCTTAAATGCTACCAAGTGACCACTGTGTGGGGGGTAGAGTGGGGGTCTTCGGAGATAGACCGTCCTTTCCACTCCTCCCTTCCCCCCTCCCCCTTTGCTGGACAGAGGTCCGGGCGCAGGCGGAGGCAGCCCAGAGGGAGCAGGAGGTCCAGCGGCAGAGGCAGGCTGAGCTGGAGCAGAAGATGCAGGACCAGCAGCGGAGCTACGAGGAGAACATCCAGCAGCTGATGGCCAAGATGGAGCAGGATCGGGAGCAGCTCCTGGAGGAGCAGAAGAAGATGATGGACAGCCGGCTGGCGGTAAGCCACCTTGGGGTCCCAGGGATACCCCCCCCCCTTGTCCCACTATAGGAGCCCCTTCACTCTGTGAAACAGGCCTTTGGACAGAAATGGAGTCCCCACACTTCATTGGTCCGCCTCTCTCTCTCTTTTGCAGGAGCAAGAGGCGCTGCTGAACGAGGGCTTCCAGAAGGAGGCCAGGCAGATGAGGGAGGAGGTCCAGCGCCTGAAGGAGGAGAGTGCCAGGGTCAAGAAGCCCTCCTGGCTACAAAGAGCCCTGGGGGGGCTGGTGACAGTCGGCACCCTCTTTTTGCCAGGGATTGCTGGCAAGGCAGTTGGGGTCGTCACAAACCTGATCAGGCGCTTTTGATCAGGGCCTCCCAGCACGGCCCCCTCCCCTCAAGACCTCTTCCGCTGCTGCCTTTGGCCCGCTCTGGCCTGTCCGTGTTCCTCTTTGGACTCGATGCGCTATCAGTTAGAGAAGAATGCTGTGCTTCCCTCAAAGGGCCTTGCCACACCTTTCGCAGGCGCACTCACTCAGCCACGCTTCCTTGGGGGATGCACCTGGGAATGGCGCTCCATGAGCAAGGCCCATTCCTCTGTCCATTGTGAAGTTGGACTTGTGTGTGTGTGTAAATAATTCGGGCCCATGGGCCCAAAGTAAGCAGCTGCAGGGGGCAACCTTGCCACTGCTTCATGCATTGCCAGGTGGGTCAACACTCGAGTGGTGGGAGCCAAGATCACTCTCCCACTGGATGTATAGACAGACAGAGAGAGATTGATAGGTATGTGGTTAGGTAGATATAGGCACATGCGTACACTTGTGAATGGTCTGCTATGCAGTGGTCTTTGATTGTACCCAGAACTCCTCATGTATTTGATACAGACTCCTCTGTTTTGTTGTGTTTAATGGTGCTTTTCTGATCACGAGCTGCTCTTTCTTCTCTCAATCCTTTATGCCTCTCTTATCCATTATTTGAACATATTCTACAGTATTCATGCAGATAGGTGCTTATCAATGCAGTATTCATATTATATTGGTGCTTGCACGTTTATTTCTGAGCCCTGACTAACAGTGAGTGATAGGGGGAGGCCTACCTGTCCATCTCTTCACCTGCCTGCCTGCCTCATCTGTCAATATTTACCTGTCTGAGGGCGGCTTTTAAGACCTGGTTTGGAGTTCCACTTGTTTTGGCCATGCGCTGCGTGCTTACCTTGGACCAGACATGATTCTTTGCTAAATAAAAGTATCTGTTGCTGCCTTTCACAACTGCATACGAGAACTGGCTTTAGAAATTTTTATTGGGTCAGTATTGTTAATGGCGTCTCCGCACAGCAA